TTAAGCCTCCATCTCTATTTTGCAGCAATATGGCGTCGCCCTGATTGGCTGGTTATCGAGTGGAGCCACATCTTTGGCGGGAAAATGGTGAGGTGGTGGAAAAGGTGTTTCTGCCGATGGCTTGGGTGGAGAGTTAAGGGTAGGAAGGTGATTGGATGATGGAAAACGATGCTGAAAAGAATGTCTGGAGAAAGCCGGGTGGATGGATGTTAAGATGGATGGATGGAGCGTGTTGTAACTGAGCGAAAAAGAAACTGAAAAGAGATACAAAAATAATTGAGGCATGAAAAGGGAAAAAGAAAGCTACAAAGTAATAAAGGCAAGAAATAAAATGTTTATGGGCGGAGGGTTAAAGAAAGAAAGAAAGAAAAAGAAAGAAAGAAAGAAAGAAAGAAAGAAATTGAAAATAATGGAGAAAGAAAGAAAGAAAGAAAGAAAGAAAGAATGAAGAAAAAGTGGAAAATGAAAGAAAGTATACGAAAGAAATATAGCATGAAAGAAAGAAAGAAAGAAAGAAAGAAAGAAAGAAAGAAAGAAATCGAAAATAATGGAGAAAGAAAAAAAGAAAGAAAGAAAAAGTGGAAAATGAAAGAAAGTATACGAAATGAATATAGCATGAAAGAAAGAAAGAAAGAAAGAAAGAACGAAAGAGAGAGAGAGAAAAAGGAAATAGCTGAAAAAAGAAAGAAAGAAAGAAATAGGAAATAGTGGAAAATGAAAGAAAGAAAGAAAGAATACAAAAGGGATATATTATGAAAAGAAAGAAAGTGTGAAAGACAGTTGGTAAAGAAAGAAAGAATAAGAGAAAATAATGGAGAAAGAAAGAACGAAAGAAAGAACAAATAAGAATTGGGACATACTTGAAAACAAATGAAAACGAAAAAGGAAAGGATATAGTAGAAAAACAAAGAATAAAGAAAGAAAGAAGAATGAACGAAAAAGGACAATAGTAGAGAAAATATAGAAAAGAAAGAAAGAAAGAATGTTGAAAATGAAAGAAAGAAAAAGCCAAATACTGGATGATAAATAAATAAAGGAATATACAAAGAAAGTTGAAATGAAAAAAAAAGGCATAAAGGGAAATAGCGTAGAAAAAGGAAGAAAGGAAATAATGAAAAAGAAGAAAAGGAAAGAAACAAACAAAGAAAAGGAATAAGAAATACTGGAAAACGAAAGAAAAACGGAAAGTGACATATTAGAAAAAGGAAGAAAAAAGAAAATGAACCAATGAAATACGGAAATAGCGAAGAAAAAGAAAGAAAGAAAGAAAAGAAAGAAAGAAAGAAAGAATGAAAGAAGTGATTCAGTGGGCGATAGAAAAAAAGAAAGAGCAAAAGAAAGAAAAGGAAAACTAAAAATATTTAGACTAGATAAAATTTAGTGAGTAAAAAATGCAAAAGCTAAAATATAGAAATGCAAACAAGAACAGAAAAAAGCAGCAAGAGTGAAACATTCGGGAATATCATTTTTTAAAGGAAGAAAAATTGACAAAACTCGAAAAGGACAGCGGTATTTGAAAAAGACGGAAATGTCGAATGCCTGTGAAAAAAGAAAATTGATAAAATAAATAACGATAAATTTAGAAATGTGAAAGAAAATATAGAATCCAACGAAAACCTATTAAAAAACCAAAGGTTGCTAAAAGAAAAAATAAACTTTTGTAAATATTAACTGTAGTGATTTGAAGGAAGGCTTCCAATATTATAAGAATTAGAGATAAGACCCAGTTGTTCCATGGAAAGTTTTGTCATCTGTTATTTTTCCATATTTTTGTTTGCCTACTTTTGATTTCAATCTTTTTTTTACTATCAAATTATAATCAATTTGTTGGAATATGAAATTCAGGCAGACATAGTGAATTGATTTAAATAAATATACTTAAAGATTTTAGACTTTTCGAATTAACAAAAGTGAATCGTAAATTACGTTAAAATGGAGTAGAAATAAACTATACAGACAGCGGTGGAGATAGATAGAGACAGATAAGAACACATTGAGATAGATAGATAGATAGATAGATAGATAGATATGAATAGACTGATAGAGATAGATGTAAATACATTTTTATACAATATATATTTATTTTGCAATGAATTATTTTGAACTCCTTGTCACTGCACATAATTCGACTTTACACAGACATATATATAGAACATTATACAGTCTACATTTTCGATAAAAATTAAACAAGTAACTATCTGAGGTTTTGAATGTAGTAATCTACTTTAGGAGAAAAAAATTATTAAGAGCTACGAGGGACAGGAAATTGTGGAGAGACATGATCGCCTCCTGGACAGATAGAGGTCATGAGTGATAGAGGAAAGTAACCCCGAACAGAATTGGTGAGACTCAGTAAATAGATGGTGGAATAAAGCTTAGGACGAATAACAGAAAGACAAATTTTATTAAGAGTTACAATAGACAGGAAGTTGGGGAGAGCCATGATATTTACATCTTGAGAGGACACGGCGCACAGAAAATCTACAATAAATGGGCATCTCACAGATCAAGGTAGACGGAAAAATTTACAGCACCGGAAACAAACACGAAAAGTGGCGAAAACGAGCGAAGTTCGAACAGGGCATCCACACAAGATCACCATACGTAAGGGAAGCCGTATAGCCAAGACACCGGAAACACAAGCCAGGACGAACAAATTTCAGCAGTTGCCTAGCAAAAAAGAAACATTTGCATATCTAATACCACTCAGCTTACCGTCCCGACTATTCCGTTGGGGAACTTGTACATATCACTTCTTCATATACAGAAGTCCCGGACTTCATACTGGATCTGATCTGGCTGGGCCGCCATGTTCTTTCTTTATACAGAGACAGCACACTAGAGGTCATCTCTTTGACCAACTTGCTCTTACATATATATTTTTATATAAAGACAGTGCTCCATGTAATAAAACAGAGCTATTAAGTATATATCACTGGATACACATAATATCCCACGTCGAAAGCACAACGCGGAATTTCATGCAAACATGCAATCTTCAGGTGCAAAATACACAATGACTGTTAACTGAATTTCATAGGTTTAACGCGTTATATATATATATATATATATATATATATATATATATATATATATATATATATAATTATTTATTTAAAAATATGATTCCAACTCATAAGAGGTCTCATGTTTCAAAATGTTTTGAAACATGAGACCTCTTATGTCACGAATTGGAATCATATTTTTAAATAAATAATTATATTTATGCTCTACTTTTGTATCGAGCACTATTTTTTAAAATAATAACTAAAATACTAAGGAACTTTGGATTATTTACCTAACCAGTTCCTTCCTATTTTCTATATATTTTCGCACACACACATATATATATATATATATATATATATATATATATATATATATATATATATATATATATATTATCTTGGGTATGAAGGCATTGTGGAATAATGGATAGTTGCTTGGATTTAGGAATCGGTATGAATTCATTTGTTCTTCCCACCAAACTATTGGCAAATGCTAGAGCAGACTGGATGCTATAGCCTTGGATGGCAACCGATCCATGCTACGGAGAGCTCTGAATTCAAAACCTCCCACCCTGGTTGCCTCCCCAATACGCAATTGGCCAAACGTTGTGAATACGGCTACACCCTCTGAGGACTTGGCTAATCAGGGAGATTCTTACAAGGAGCAAGAATCCTTTGGATCTGGTTCTGTTAAAAAATGATAATGAAAAAAATACTGGGATGAAACCCCGGCAATTATTTTTGTTTTTATCATTTTTGTTTTATTGACTATTTTATTGAATCCTAAAATATCGATCCTCATTTGGGTACCCAATGCTTCAGACTTTACCCTAAAATAAGTGTTTGCAACTTTTTTTTTTCGTCATCGCCCACTTTCACATCGAAACATTATCTACCGATCACCTGTATAATAAATATTCAACAGCATACAAAAGTGTGATACTGGTTCGTTAACTTTATTATGTAGTAAATTGATGGAATAAATAAAGCTGGCTTTTGCTGTTGACAAAAAAATTAAACAATTTTTGTTCATAATTATAAAATTTAAAAAATATACATTATAAGAAACTAATAAAAATTCAATGAATGTGTTTTTCTTCTTTTTGGTCTTCCCTTATGTGATTTATATCCGAAAAAATGATTTTTCCTCTGAAATGTTTAAATGTTAATGACCCTTATCTGAACTATATAAAATACCATTTTGTTTGCGGAATAATTTATATCTTATCTAGGAATTTGACCCAGTCATTCCGATTTAGTCCTTCCAGTACAATTCCCAATACAAGTCCTACTATTTAGCCCATAGCTGGAGGGGAGAATATGTGAACCCATACGTTTCCCAAGATTATTTGCGCGTCAGAGAATGTAACAAATCCGATTGAAATTCGAACTCCGAATTTCAATTACGAGCCGTTACCCACAAAATCAAGAATCTGGTATTCCCAAGGCGACACTCATCTAGGTATTGACCAGGCTCGACCTTGCTTAACTTCGGTAATCGGACGAGAACCGGCGTTTCAACGTGATATATATATAAGCCGACAATGTATGTTATATCACAAGCTAAATAGAGTGATGTTGACTAAGGGACTATTGTTCAAGGTAGGCTATATTTTTATTAGTTATTACGTGTCTAACACAGCCCTCATGCACATGCTAGAATAAAGTGCATCTACGCGATCTACGAAGATGTATTTGCATTAAGACTCTGAAGTAAGATAGCGTTTCTTTGCAGAAATATTAATCCTATCACCATCAATCTTTATCAATTAAAATATTTCATTTGTGTGTTTTATGAAAGGCTTCTCACAAGCATCTGAATATTGTCACCGTCCGTTTCTGAAGATTTCAATATATTTTTCTGATTATGTTGTTACATCATAAAACCCTCAAATATTTAGCCTTTAAAGTTGCTATTAAACCACAACAAGGACTGAAAAAATAGGATATTACCAGCCATTTGCTTCGTACTCATTGAAGATACTCGGATTTTTAAAACCTTGGCTCAAAGGATCATTGGATATTGTCATTGAAATTAAACAAAAAATGCTTGGAAGGAAAGTGTATATAGTGTCATCGTGTCACAACACCACAGAGGTACCATCAGTGAGCTTGGCTTGTGCTGTAGGTATGGGCAAAGTACGACATTCCCCAAGTCCGTCAACCGCCATATGCCCCAGATCTCGTCCCTTGCGACTTTTAAGTCTTCAAATATAAAATTCCACTTGAAAGGAACAAAATTTCAAAAAGACGAAAAAATCCAACTGAATGCGACTCGCGAAATTTTCTTCTGCTCAGTTTCTAAAAATATTTTTTTTAGTTATTCATCCGACAGATGTTATCAATTTAAATGTCATTTTTAGTGGATACTCATATTTGACTAGACGCTCCGTTTATTTATTAAACAGTATATTTTGTTTTATTTTTGTCTGCCGGCCTGAATATTAGAGAAATCTTATTAAAGAAAAAATATGCGCTCTCCGAATAGGAAACTAAGCAGATATGAAAAGTTCGAATGTCTATGACGAGGTTTTCGTTTAAAGTCATTATATTGGCCTGACTGCTCGGCAAAAGCTCTTCGTAGCTGAGTTGGTTAAAGTTCGTCAGATATAACAACTATTCCCTCAGCACAAGTTGACGCAGGTTCGAATCAAAACAGCAGACGAAAATAAATAAATATAATGTTTATTAAATAAGCGGAGAGTCTACTCAAATACAAGTATCCATTAAAAATAATATTTAAGTGATAAATAATTTGTATTATTTCCTTTTTTTTGTGTATTTTCTTTCTTTGTTACATTTAAATTTCCTGCTTCTTTCGCTTTTTATTTCAATTCAATTCCTTCCTTCCTTCCTTCCTTCCTTCCTTCCTGTATTTTGTCGTTTTATTTGTTTATTCATTTTCATGTTTTTGTTTTTGTTTTTGCTTTATACTTCTATAACCTGTGTGTGAGTACTTATTTGTAAATGTCTGTATGAAAAGATGTCTGTGTGTTTGCATTAGATATTATTTAACATTTTTTTTATTATTAAACTCCTAACTGCACAAGATAAGACTAAAATATAATTCTAGATGCAAAACAATAGGGGAAAAAAAAAACGGAACATTCACGAAGAATAAAACATGGCGGCGCATCCTTCGAGCCATATCGCCACCTCTTCGAAAGATTCCGTTAAAATTTGATAAGAAAAATAAGTACATTTTAAAATAAACATCACGATGACATAAACTCTGTAGACAATTCTCTTTCTATTTCAAAATTCTATTTCTCTATCTGGTGATTTCAAGATTTCTTCTTGGAAGAGTCTCATTGCATTAAATATGAAGTTGTGTCCTTCTTCCGTAAATTAGTTCGACTAAAATTATTTTTAAAAATAAAATGCAATGCAAGATTATTGCTAAATGCTTTCAATAAAAATAAAAGTCGAGAGAAAATATTGAGCAGGAAATAAGGCAAATAAATGTTATTAAAATAACACATTTACTTTTATATAGACCTTTGCCAAAGTGTGTATGTGCACATGCGCAGATGTCACTGCGAAAAATGAAATTAGGGATCGAAGAAGAATGCAAATGGAGATGCGGGGAGACGCAGAAGAGAGAAAGGTCCTCTTGAGGAAGGAAAGGGGGAAGGAAACTAAAATAGAAAAAAGTAAAAGAAAGAAAGAAGTAAAAGAAAGAAGTGTAAAAGAAAAAAGAAAAAGTAAAAGGAAAAAGGTAAAAGAAATAGAGAATAAAAAAAAGAAAAGTGAACAGAAAGAAAAAGTAAAAGAAAGAATAAAGAAAAAAGTAAAAGAAAAAGAAAGAAAAGAAAAAAGAAAGAAAGAAAAAGTAAAAGAAAGGAAAGAGAAAAAGAAATAAAAAAGTAAAAGAAAAAGTAAAAATAAGGAAAACAAGAAAAATAAGGAAAACAGAAAGAAAGAAAAAGGAAACGAAAGAAAGAAAGAGAGAATGATTATAAAAAAGAATTTGAATAGAAAGAAAAGAAAGAAGTAAATGAACAAAATTAAAAACAAATCGAAAACCGATCGATTTTTACAAAGGCAAGAAACAAAAAGGAAGAAGACTATAGTGGATGAAAACAGGGCAAAAAAGACAGAAACGAAAAATGTTAGTAAGAAAGAAAATTAAAACGTGACGACAAATTAGAGTTCTTTGAATGAAGTAAAGAAAAAAGAAAGCAAATAAAGGAAGAAAGAGAGAAAGAAATATTACAAAAACAAAAAATATAAAAAGGAAGAAGAAAAAAAGAAATGAAAGGAATAAAAAAAAATAGAAAAACCTAAGATTTCTAAGGAAAGAAACAAAAGGAAAAAAGCGGATAAATGAAGAAAACATGAGAAAGATGCAAACAAAAAATTTGGTTTATTAAAAATGAATGACTGAATGAATTAAAAAAATAGAAAAAGTGAAGAAATATTAGAATTCTTTGAGAGTAATGAAGAAAAGAAAAGTTACAAAGAATGAAAGACAGCAGCAAAAAGGAAAAATTGGATGTAAAAATAAGAAAGAGAAAAGAGAATTAAGAAAATAATTTTAAAAAAAATAAAGATAAAAAATGAAAATGGCAAAAAACAATAAAAAAAGCCCGTAAAGATGAAAAATGAAAGAGGAAAGAAGAAAAAGCAAGAAGAATAAAATAAAAAATATTTAACGAAGAAAAGCAATATTGAAAAAGATAAAGAAAACTACGAAACCAAGAAAAGTTATGTTCATGCGAGGAAATAATAATAATAATAATAATAGTAATAATAATAATAATAATAATAATCATTATTATTGTTGTTGTTGCTGCTGTTTTTGTTGTTACTATTTCTATGACATAAGCGTAGACCAATAAAAAGAATGAAAGGCGAGATAAAAGAAAAATCAATGGTTGAAAGGAATAAAATGAAAGAAAGACGGAAGCCAATTTCATTCGAAGTCATTGAAAGATAGAAACCGTAAGAAAAAGGATGTCGAAACGAAACGAAACAAAACGAAACAAAAAAGCAGAAGGCGAACAAATAAATGCACAAAGTCTAAGGTTTTTTTTTCCACAAAAATTTAATCCAACGAAAAAGAAATAATAAAACAATAAATTTAAATAATATAAAATATATTAGAGAAAAACATAGCCAACATCAAAATAACACCATATTACTAAAAAAAAAAAAAAGATAATAAAATTAGTTGAAATTACAAGATAAGAATAAATTTGAGGAAGAAACAGAAAGAAGAGGTTTTTCTTTTAAATATCCAATTCTGAAGTGGGACAAAACGAAAGAGAGCTGTTGAAATTGAATTGAATGATTATTTTTACTTCTCATCGGAAGAACCAGACGAGACAAAAAGAGACGGCAAGTTTATAAGAAGCGTCCACGGCTTACAAGTAGAGAAAATGGCGTCGACATTAACAGTGATGCTAACAAAACAAATAAAACAAGGAAAGCAGATTTTCATAATTAGATGAGCGGGAGGAGTCAGTGAATTAGAGATGACTTCTAGAAAAGCTGAAAGTTGCTAGAAACGATTGACCACGAAAGAATTGGCAAGCAATTAGGTTGTGGCTGAAAGACTTACGGGGGGAAGAAAGAGAAGCTGAAAATTAATGAAGTCAGTTTTTTTTTCTCATTCATATATATATATATATATATATATATATATATATATAATCGGTATCACTCCATGCAAGGCTATAAAGCCACTAAGACATTACTAGTTACAGGTTGTGGAAGAACTAAGAACAGAAAATGAGTGGGAAGAGGGAAGATAATCTGGAGGACAGTAGATAGAGATTGCATCTAAATATCTGCAGATTAAAGTTAGCTGGAAAGCATGGAGCCGGAAGGGAGTTCCACACACGAGAAGTGCGAGAAAAGAAACTGTTAGCATAGAATTTACGGTTACATCTGGCCTGATCAACTATAAATTGATGAGATCTCGACACCAGTCTCGTACTGCGCTTATATTCATAAAGTCTACGTACCACAGGGTAGAGCTCATCCGAACAATTACCATGAAAATGTTTATCGAAAAGATACACTGAAGCAACCTTACGGCGGTTGGAAAGTGATAGAAGCCGAGCCGCCATATCTAGACCAATAATATTGCTGATTCTTCTTTGCATTTTATCAAGGAGTTCAAGGTAAATAGCAGCATATATGGCAGCAATATTCTAATATTCTAAGCATGCATGAAAATATATGTTAGATAGATTTCTAGAGAAATAATTGGCTCGCATTACACAATGAACCAAGTTACTTATCAGCTCAACCGAAATACATTTTTCAGGTGGATATATATTGTCATCCACAGACAGACTGTTTCGCTGTATCACAGCTCATCAGTATGACTAGACGTCCGGTTGCCTCTAGCTAGGATATATATATATATATATATATATATATATATATATATATATATATAAACACAATCATAATAGAACAATTTAATTACACCAACCAACAGAATAACAAAAGAAATCCAACAAATCCTTAACTTCTTTTAAGTACAATATCCCTGCAGAACGTAGGCGATCATTGCTCATCAAGTACGTTACGCGCTGCTTTTCTCAGTCCGTCTTTCCCTCTATCTGTCTTGTGAGTATCAAATTTTCTAAGCCTTCCTTCCTCATTACGTGCCCTAGAAACTGCCTCTTCCTTCTGTTAAGTGTAAGTTTCCTTTTTTGTTTTTCCGTTTTATTTCTATTTCCTCCAAAACCTCGTCGTTGCTCATAAGTTTGGTTCATGGTATCCTCAGCATCTTTGTGTAGAACCACATTTCTGTTGCTTCAAGTTTCTTCCTCATCTTTGAGAAAATTGTCTAGCATTCAATGCCAGATATCACGTAACAGTTTAGTACACTTTTGCTTGTTTCTAACGAAATTTTTTGTCTCTTACTATTCTGCTTAGCTTTTGGAAGGCATCTTTAGCCATCCCAATGCGCCATTGGATCCCAGTATCGCACTTTCCGTCTTCTGCTAGAACAGTTCCCAGATATTTTAATTTTCGTACTTGTTTGATTTTAGTATCCCCGATTTCATTTATCAAACAAATCCTTGCCAATAAAAAAATTATAAAAAACCATCATATATTTAAAAAAATTGCGGTAAATATTCGAAGAATTAAATATAAAAAACAAACAATTCCGTATCTATAAAACGATATAGATTGAGGAATGGACATATGAAGAGGCGGAAAGCGATGTTTGAAAATGATGAAAATGACATAGTGAAAAATGTTACCCCAAAATTATTAATGTTAATGTAGAGAACAGCTGTTTCTCTAACGGAAACATTAGGCATTCGTTGACAGTGAGTAAACTTGAAATCTATAAAAGCTTTCTCTTAAACTTGTACACCGCCTTAAGGTTGCCTCTCTGTTCCTTTTTTATACATACTTTCATGGAAATTTTTCTGATGAGCTTTTCGCTATGGTACCTAGACTGTATGAATTTCAGCGCAATACTAGACTAGCGTTGAGATCTCATCAATTTGCAGTTGATCATGTTAGATGTAGCCGTAACTTCTATGCTAACAGTTTATTTTCTCGATTGCCTGCTGGCTAGATGCTTTTCAGCCAACTTTAATCTGCAAGAGTTTAAATGAAATGCCAATCGCTATCTACCCCAACCCCTTGCTTGAACTACATCCGCGTCCTGGGTAAGACGATAAACTACGTCCAGCAGCAAGGCCTCTGATCAGGAGGTTTTGAGGAGTGTGGAACCACCTCTTAATTCCTGGTGTTCCCAAGTCCACCCTGACCCGGAGTGGTAGCACCTGTTAGGGTCCCAGCTATGAGCAAATAGTTAACTATTACTAGTAATACTTTTTTGAAAAAAATTATTACCACCAATACAATTTTGAAGGAAAAATATTACCAGAAACAGATTTTTGACAAAACAAAATATTACCAACAATAAAAAAAATTCTTGGCATTAAATAACCCATTGAGGTGTTGATATGCCGTAAAACAAAATAAACCAAACCAAACCCTTGCTTGTTAGTGGCTGTACGGGCTTGTTTTGGGTGAAACCGATTAAAAATAAAGAACAAGAACAAAAAAATCACGTATTCAGGGAAATATGTATATCACGTCAGCTGTTACCAATCTTTCTTATATTAATGGCGGTTTCCATCCTAACCTTTTGTTTAGGGTTCTGTGGAAAGTTACCATCTGGTTGTTATCAAAATTTTCCATTCTAGATTACATGTGCTACCTATTTTAGTTGCTGTTAGAAGATTTGAAGTAACGTGATTTTGATTGTTTTTTTTTTTTGTTGTTTTTTTTGTTATATCGTAAAATTTTCTTTGTCACTCTAAAGCGTTAGTCCAGGAGGTTAGAAGAAGGATAGTCCTCCCCAAGACCTACAGGCTTCAAGATGCATACTTATAGTATTTTTATTCCTCGTATTTTCTTATATATTATATTCTTCTTCTTCTTCTTCTTCTTCTTCTTCTTCTTCTTCTTCTTCTTCTTCTTCTTTATCATCATTTCTTCTCCTCCACCTCCTCTTACTTTTCTCTTTCTTCTTCTTCGTTTTCATCATCATTACTTCTTCTGCTCCTCTTACTTCTTTCTTCCTCCTTCATCATCATCGTCAGCAACAGCAGCATTTCTTCTCCTCTTCCATGTTCTGCTGCTTTCCTTCTACATCTTCTTCAACATTTCTCTTCCTCCCTCCTGCTTCTTTCTTTCATCTTCATCATCATTCTTTCTTCTTCTCCCCTCACTACTCTCCCTCCTTCTCTTTGTTCACTTTCTTCTCCTCCTTCCTCTGTTTATTTACCCCTCCTTTTCTCTCTCCTTCTGTCGGTCTTTCTCATATCTTCTATATTTATTTGGTTTGTTCTGTGTTTAAGTCTCTTTTTTATTTTTGCATTCCCCACCTCTTTTTCTTTTGTTTTTTATCTTTGCATCCCCCCTCTTTTTCCTTTCATTATTTTTTCATCTTTAATATGTTTTATTTTGTCTTTAGCATTTACTATTTCATTTCACTCCCTTTTCGTTTTTCTCAACTCGTTCCCAAATGTTTTTCTTTTCTTTTCTTTTATCTTCCTAGGATTTTTCTCCTCCATTTCTTATTTTCTTTTCTCTGGCTTTTTCTATCCCTCTTTCTTCTTCCACATTTTTTTCAATACCACATTCTTGCTCCTGTTTCTTTTATCCCGTTTACTCGATCTCTACCCATAATTCCCTCGCCGGTTGATTTTCAACTTGAATCACTATTGAGTCGACCAATTAATACTATCTTCACTTGTTCTCCATTGTAAGTGAAACGATAAACGAAAGGTTTTTTGCTTTTTGCTTCTTTTCTTCATCGTCTTTGTTTCAGAACATCTGTCGGCTCTTACGACT